TGATGATTGCTAACTCAGCTTTTCTTGTAGGTTAAAAAACATTTTGAAGAAATAACTGAGTCATTCAGTGGACAACTGACTTCCAAACCCTGTCATTACCTCCCCAGGACTGAACTGTAACAGTGTGGAGTACATCTGTAAGGAACAGACTAAAATAATCTGTGCCTCATATCATTTTAGAATTAGTCCCATAACGGAGTTTTCAAACTGCTCACACCATAGGTATGTACACTGCTATATGTGAAATCAAATCAGTATTCTAAAACGCTTCCAAGAGCCAGGTCAAGATATATGCAGAACGCCTAAGACTTGGAGTATATGACACTTCCCGAGGAACATGCACTTCTCTGCATACACAGAAAGCAACATTCAATCAAAGTAAGTATTTTATGCAATTTAAACAGTGCTGTGAAGTGTCTGATAAAAGATTTGTCATCAAGGAAATTCTCAGAAGATACTTGTTATTCACAGAGCTACTTAAAAAGAACATGATTTATAGTCAAGTAACACAAATACAAAATAAAAACCTCTAAACTAGAAGTGTATTATTTTATGACACATATTAAAGAAAGGAAAAATGCATATGATGTAGAAGCAGTTTATAAATAAGAATTATAAATAAGCATGAAGAATACCATAAAAACACCAGTACTCTCCTTCCAGAAGATAGCGGTTGCCTATAAAGTGAAAGCTCTAAGTACTGAATGCATTGTTCAGAAAATCTGGATGCATATATCCAAAACGAAGCATAGTCTAAAAAGGGCAGTAATGTTGGCCTCATTACAAAGGTGCTTGTAAATACTTCTCTCACATTTCTCCTCCACTCAAGTCAAATACAACACTGAGCTGTATGTACACTGCATCAGAATTGAGAGAGCCCAACTACAAATTTTAACAGTAATATTGACACTCTACTTTAGAAGCTGGATTTTTCTATGCTGTAATCAACGATGCATGGAACTATCAAAATCACTGGATCTTATGATTCTGCTTCAAAAATCTCTTTCACAGGTTTCACATTTCTCAATGAACATTTGCATTAACAGAAAATATTCAATAATGTATTCCTTCTGATGCAGTATTTCTGAAAAAATTAAGGACTTTTGGATAAAAGATATCTAGAAACATCAAATCAAATGAGATTGCTAAAAACAAGGACTCTTTTTTTCATGTTAACAAAATGTATCATTTTATAAGGCAGGGTAAAACCAATAAAATAAAAATAAGATTTTTAAAAGCCAGGAGCAAAAAGAACGGCAATCAGCAACATGTAGAGAGAAAATAGGATTACATTTATTGGGTATTATATCAACTTAACTTCTCATAAACTCCTCCTGATCTATTAAATAACTTCAGAACTGAAGTATGCTCTCCAATGGGAGTTGTAAAACAAATTAGATACAATTACAATTCAATACAAATAAAAAGTCAAAGTATTTACCCTTAAGAGTTCTCATTTTATAGCTTTACCATTGAAATTAGACCACATTTTCCCCTAATGTATCAAGTGGGCCACTTGGCATTAAGTGTAGATTTTTCTAGTATGTTTTCCCTGGAGAAAAAGAGTTGAGATGAATAAATTCTGGAAAACTGTAGTAACTACACATCCCCAAAGTGACTACAACAAACATCTGGTGCAAGAATTGCTCGGCTTTCCAAGAGTATATAAAGGGTGCTCCCCCACTATTACCCCCTTTTGTTTTGTTTTGTTTTGTTTTTTACTTTAAAAACTCCACCTTATTTGTTAAAAAAAGAAAAAAAAAAGACTATGTTTCTACTATAAATTCTAAAAACATAAAATATAAAATTCTGGTAAGCTGAACATAAGTTATTACCAGGCATATAACAGAAAGGGAAAATATGCTATGTACAAGATTCCACTTGTTTCTCAAAGGACAAGATAACTGGCATGCTGCCCTGTCTGTGGGTTCTGTCATAGTTTTAACCATTGTTTTCCTTTCTTAACTTTGCTCCACACAAACACAGCAACACACATAGCATGAGACCAGACTGAAATATTTAACTTCCTGATGGTTTTTCATTTTGTTGGAATCCCAGTGATCATTAGCCTTTCTCCTTTGGGTCTCACTGGTTTCTGTCCACTTCTAAGCTAACATATCTCAATAAAAAAGTGAAATCTTATATTTTACTCCAGTGATAGGATAAGTCGTGGCACATTTTAAGTAAAAGAAGAAAAGAATTGCTAAGGCTAAGTGCTCACTGATTTTTCTTAACCGTATCAGAGTCTTCACTGCTTTCTGTTAAGCTGAAGGCATTTGCCTTGATTCTTGAGTCCTCCTAATGTAACAAGTACTTTGTAGGATAAAACATCATCTTATTAACACTTGAAAATGTCACCAAGTATATACAAGTTAGTAGGTGTAAACGAATCAACATCCATAAGGCTATAAGGCACAGAGCATGTGGGATCTTTATGAAAGAAAAAATAGCAAAAGACGACCATGTCTAAAGGTATTTTGAAATATATGTCTAAAACATATTTCAAGTAACATGTGACTGTTTGCTTTTACTTTCTACCCAGGCCTGCTGTTCCTAACCAGTTTGAGGTTATTGTTTATATAACATTAAAGATTCAGTTTCACAACTCCATTTTTATGCTAACAATAAGGTATTGATTTAATTCTTGAAACATTCCTGAGAGTATTTCAACAAGGCATTATATAAACACACTATAGAGAGTAACCTCTTTGTCATCAAGAGAAAGATGGGAAGCTGCCCTTTCTTTCTGGGCCAAACTCAAACAAGAGTGAGCTCTTCATTATGCTTCTATAAACTTCAAGATCTAGAATGGAATTTTCCCCTGCACCCCATAAAAATACTCCAAAAACATTTTGTTAACATGCACCTATATGGTATGTGTTGATACAACCACAAGAAGAAAAAAATGCTTTATTTAAAACAGTCTTCAATCTGGTATTGGAAAAATGCTACCACAAGCAAAATTTTTAGGAAAATCAATTTAAGACTGATACAAATGAAAAGGAAAAAGAAGTTCTGGTGGGCTCCAGTATGTAAAAGTTTAGAATCATTTTCAAACAATACCATGACTAGTCCCCATTTATGGACATGAGTTAATTACTCACAAAGGCAGTGGGGTATTTACTCTTAGGAGAAACAGCCAGCTAACACACATAAGGAATACTCACAAGCAATTGCTAGAAGCTTCCTTTATTCAAGACTCTGTAGGAGTCTTAAACTCCTACAGAGGGTTAGCATGGGTCATATAATAGGTTTAAACAACACATTTGTCAGTGCTGGCAAGATGGCTCAGTGGAGAGAGCATACCACTCTTTCAGAAGACCTGAATTTAGTTCCCAGGGGATCCAATGCCTCTAGTCTCCAGAGGCACCTACACTCGATGCACATACCCACACACAGATATACACACATACATATAAAAATAAATTTCTGAAAAAATAACACATTTATCTCAATTACATGATGTCTAAGGAAAACAGATCATTTCTTGAAAAGCCAAAACAAAAAAAAAACCCTTTGTCAGAGATTACATCTAACTTGATTAAAGTGATTTGAAGTTATAATGGTACCTGTATCTCTCTCCTGTGTCATAATAATATATCTTATATAGCTTTTATGTATACGTTTTTTTATTGTCTTTCTATATTCTATAACATATTTTGCACATGAGAAAAATGTACTTTCAGTAAAGCACCTTGTAATCATAAACAAGTGCAGCACCTCTAACAACCCATCACTGCATTCTATTGTATTCATTCTATAGATAGAAAAGCTGATGGTGAGAAACTAACACATTGACCTAAGGTCCTAAGAACAGATCCAGAAACTCTCATCAAATACATTTTCCAAAATCTATGAAGGAAAAAGACACTAAGCACACAACGCTGTCGGAGGCAAGTGCAGGGAGACATGAACTGTCTGCTGAGTAACAAAGCACTGCTTTTACTGTTTTCTAAAGCAAATGAAAACTGTCTATATATAGTTCCTCCATTTAATACTCTGAAGTTCAGAGTAAATTACTCAAATTAATCCCACTCACAATAATGTGCACCATTCCCGCCTTATAGGTGAGAAGCCAGGCACTAAAACAAAGCTACCTGCCATAGACCACACAGTAAACGTGAAGGAAGTTTGAACTTAAACTATGTTATGTTCTTGGTTCCTCACATCTATTTTTTCAGATTAAACATCAATATCAATCCCATTAACCATTTTATTCTAAAGCCACTTGAAGAAGCACATACTTGTCTGAAGGAGAAAATATATCCTCCAAGTTACAGGTGCGAAGGAATAAAAGCACTTTGATGTCACTGTATTTAGGTTAAAAGCTACATACATATCTTACTATTTTAGTACCATAAATCAGAAGCTGGGCTCAGAATGACACTAATCATTTGCCTAGAATAGTTTTATGCTTTCATTGGAAAGATACAAGCTAAGAAATGAAATTAGATGAGAAAAATAAAGAGTGGAGCCATATTAAAATATATTTGTGGAGTGGAACTTGCAAGATAAGACACTGATTTTTCAGCCTGGGGGTAAAAAATCTATTTTCTGGCTGGTTACAGAAAAGGACCCACAGCTCTAGGTCAACAGCAAGTATTTCAGAGGGACAAGGACACTGCATTCGAGGCCAAGTGATGTCTGGTAAAAGGCACTGCTTTCCTCTGAAAGCTAGAGGAGAAGGAACCAAACCAGTGGGTTACTTTAAAATGTTAATCAGGACTCCTTCACATAAATGAGAAACTATGCAAATATGTCTTCTAGTTAAAAAAATAATGTATTTTTCAAGCAAGGTTAAGTATGTAAGTATGTCATACCAGATTAATAATGGATTTACGACTTCCTACGAGAATGACAGCTTCATGGTGAGAACAGCGTATCCGGCACATCCCTAATTATACACAGCATTCCAGGTTCCGATGTGGCGGCAATGGTCCAACAAACAAGTGAACAGACGAACTAGACAGAGAATTGTCACACTAATGAGACAGCCATACCTCTTGTACTGAGCGAGCTGCTGGCTTGTCTTGATGATTGGCCAATATTAAAAAGGGTAAAGTGCATAGCTGTGGGTGCTGAAGAGCTGAGTGCAGTTCATTTCTAGCAGTTTCTAAATCATCCTCTGAAGAGGCACTGTCTAAGACGAATATTACCCCTTGAGATCCTTGGTAGTAGCGGCTCCAGTATTTCCGGATATTGTCAGCTCCTGCCGAAACAAAATAAATTTCCATTTTAAAAATAGCTTACATCAACTGAAAAATGTCCTATACTAATTCCTACTGGAAACAGTATATCTTTTCAAAAATGAGTATCAAAGTCCATGGTATGGAATACAGAGGGAATCTAGAAAACACAGAAAGTGACGGATGAGACAAAGGCACTATAGCCCATGGGTGGACATGGCCCTTAAGGAGAACACAGACATTTCAGTTGTTCTTCATGGTTTTTAATCTTAAAAAAAAAAAAAAAAAAAAAAGAGAAAGGATCAGGATAGTACTTATTGGACTTAAAGTCAAAAGAATGTTTTCAGGCTCTGCACGAACAAATTGAGTGACTAACTCAGAGAGCAATGTGACCTAGACATTTGCCAAGGCTTCTTTCTATACCATTTATATAATTTGAGGTAGTATGCTGGATAGCTTCAATTGTCAACTTGACAAATCTGGAAAGAAGGAACCTCAATTGGGGAATTTCCTCTATTGGATTGACCTGTGGGCATGTCAGTGAGAATTTTCTTCATTGTTGAGTGATGTGGAGAGGCGCAGTCCACTGTGGGTGATGCCATTCCTGGACAGGTGGGTCTGAGCTGTATAAGAAAGCAGGCTGAGGGGTGCTGGAGAGATGGCTCAACGGTGAAGAGCACTGGCTCTTGCAAAGGATCCAGGTTCAATTCCCAGCACCAACACTGTGCCTAACAACTGTCTCTAACTCTAGTTCCAGGGGATCCAACACCCTCTTCTGACCTCTGCAAGCACTGTACAACAGGGGTGTGCTTACACACAATACATACACATAAAATAATAAAAATAATAAATAAAATTAAAAAGGCTGAGCACAGGCCAGAGGAGTGAGCAAGTAAGCAGCTTTCACCCATGGTCTCTGCTTCAGTTCCTGCCTCCAGATTACTGCTGTGGCTCCCCTCCTGTTGGGGGATCCTGCTGCTAAGGTTGTAGTCCTCCATGTCTGGATCGCTCTAAGGGGCTCGGTGCTATATGGAAGGACTCCCTTTCTCAGCAGGGGCCTCCTGCTCTCTGCCTGACTTACCTGGAAAGTGTCACCAAGCACGGATGCCTGACCTTATTTGGAACATGACCTTTGGCATAGTTACCTGCAATAAAACCCCCACGTTTTTTCTATATGATAATTAGGCATTGCCCTATAGTTAGGTGATAGGATCCCCCTGCCACATGTAAATAAAGCATACTATGAGCACCTATCAGCTGAAGCTTTGGCTGCTGCCTCCACACTATACTTTCCCTGACCCCCACTGAATAAATGGAGCTGTATCACTGAATCTGCCTCCCCAGAAGGGCTTTCTTCCCTCAGTGCTCACTGGCCATCCTGACCCTGTTTGTCGTTTCTGCTCCCTTTGTACTTGTGGATCAGTGGCCAACGACCCACGAGGGGAGGGAGAGACCCCACACCCTCCAAGATGGACTGTAAGCTGAAGGTGAAATAAACCCTTTCCTCTCCAAGTTGGTTTTGGTCAGGGTGTTTTAGCCTGCATGTAGGTAAGTGCACCCGGGTCATGCAATGCCCATGGAGGACAGAAGAAGCTGTCGAATACCCTGGAACTGGAGTTACAGACAATTGTTAGCTGCCATGTGGGTGCTGGGATTCAAACCCGGGTCTTCTGCAAGAACAACCAGTATTCTTAACTGCTGAGTCATCTCTCCAGCCCCAATCTTTAAATTTTGTATTGATGATATGTGGAGTGGGGGCTTTTGGAGCTAATTGGGTTAGGTAAGAATACAAAGGCAGAGCTGGGCGTGGTGGCTCACACCTTTAATCCCAGCACTTGGGAGGCAGAGG